GTAAAAATAGTTGTAATAACTAACCCGATATAAAGTCAATAAAGTATTGCCACAAGTATGGCCTTAGCAAAAAAAAATAAAAAAAAAAAAAAAAAATTTTTATAAAGTCCAATTTTCTAAATAACACTTATAAGCATTATTAGTAAAAATATAGTAATAACCTTATTTTACTTCTGTTTCTTCCTTAATAATACCATAACATTGCTAACAGCAGAAAAAATCTCTTTTAATTACTGAGATTGATGACAATGATTCTATCTCTAACTTGTTCATTTTTAAGAAGACGAACTTTAAAAAAATAGTAGCCTAATATAGGCATAATTAAATATGAGATAGAGTTATATGAAAGAGAACCATTTGAAGAGTTTGGTAATAATAATAAGAAGAAAGAAAACAATGGAGTCTTATACTGGAAATCATTATCAAAAAGGTATCCAATTTTTAGTAGAATGGCATAAGATTATCTTAGTATTAAGCCTTTAAGTGTTTCTAGTAAAAGAGCATTTTTAAGGGCTGGATTTACAATTACCAATAATTAAACAAATCTTAACAAAAAAACTATCAAATGCACAATACTAATTCATTTATATCTAGCAGAAAGTTAAAACAAATTTAGTCCTCTCAACACTCTTTCAAAGGCAAATTAATTACTGCATAATAATAAATATACTATATATATTATAATACTTTATTATTCTTAATAGTTAATATAAGTCATATATATATACTATATATTAGTAAATTAGAAAACAAAAAATATAACCATTTAATAACTCTTTACTAATATATAAAATTATATTAAGCATATAATAGTTCTATTTCTTGGTATATAATATATATAAGTATTAAAAAATTATACCAAATTGTATGTTATAAAAATAATAATTATACTTATATAGTTTTTATAAAAATAATAAAATAAGTAAATGCATAGCTAAATAAGTAATATAAAAACTAAATATATAACTAAAAAGCATAACAACTGATAATATATATCTGAATAAATGCCAGTTACCAAAAGATGCTAAAACTAAATTTAATTAAAGGGCTTGAAGTAAAATGATAATATGCATACAGAAAATTAGCAAGTGAGATTGCATTAGGTATCAGCTAGTAATTTTCTACTTGCTCAAAGCAGACTAACTATTAAATAGGAAAATGACAGTATTAGATGACTACTGTGTGTGCTAGGTGTAAGAAATGAGTTGAAAAATTTTTGTTTTTTTTTTTTTTTTTTGGAGTTAAGGTGAGGTCATGCCTTAGGTCTGTTTATTCGAATATATTGTTACAGTTTGTACAACTTTTTACATTATACATTACCTATTACTATATGTCTAATTAAAAGATGAGACTCAGACTAATTTATCTGCAACCTAAACCTACTAGAGCTAATCTTGTATCCTACTTACACATAACCTGGATTTTTGTTTCACATTCATCTATATTAGATAATCTGCATATTCCTCTTATATCTTACAACCTATTTAAACAACTTCCAAATTGGTCTACCAGGTTGTTCGCTTCTTATGAGCTACTATCTTTAGTTTGCCAGAACAATGCCTTACAGTTCATATCTCAAGCCAAAGTCCTGCTGCCGCTGCTAACTTCCCAATTCAGGTACTAGTAGCACATATTTCAAGACAGGTCTCTGCTGCTCTACTGGTTTGCACTCTTCTGGTCTTAACATTATTTTCAATGAATTGTGCAACTAATCTGCCCCTTTAGTACTCTCTTTTATGGTAATAGTCCGAACCTGTTTTGCGAATTATCTCTTCTAGCTGTTACCATTGTAATATTACTATTACTTCCAATTTGGGGTATCTCAACCTTGATTGGTGTAGCATTCATATTGGTATGTTCATCCTTGTATCATCATAGACTTCCATATAGGTGTGACCAGAGCTCCGGCTTGGTACCTTTAGATGTACAGAACAAGTTACTTCCTCTATACATTTGCTATCTTCAATATCAGGATGTTCTACAGCACCAGAGGTGCTTCCAATCTTGATAAGGCTAATCCTTTTCCACAGCCTATCCTCATGTTCACTGCTTCTCTCACCATTCTAGTCTTGGTTACTTTCAGACTACTCTCCCAATCAAATCCTTTTTCTTGG